TGCGAACATTATGTCCAGCATGGGCTGATCGCGTTCTATACAACGAACGGATGGACCGTCTCTTCCGACACGTGAGTAATTCTCTCAAAACATGTTATTAAAAAAAGCTAGACATTGAGTTTTCAAAATTAAAAACAATAATCAGCCGAAGACATGTAGTAAAAGCAAATGAGCAGCAATCATAAGAAAGATAAGGAACTGACGTTTGCCCTACAAACAGTCATTTTAGGATTCGTTTTGCGCCTCTGGACTCTACTATGGCCTAGTTGGAGAGGAAGTATATATAGGACAACACAAGCCTGTTGCACTGCATGCTTCGATATGCGTCAAATAAGCCCGATGCTATTATTTTGTATGCGTATACTTTACAAAACCATTGAGACGAATGATGATTATCGCAAAGCGCTGTGTGGACGGAAACCTACATAAAATGATATTTTGACGGGCGTTTGAAACAGCTTCAACATACACATAAACACTTCCTGAACTTCTTTATGACTTAACAAAAAACAAGTGCACTCGAAATTTGCCAGGTATATCATTACTTTTCATAAGATCCAAACTATACCCGAAATATTATGAATGTAGTAGATTTGGAGGGTGAGGTAGAACAGAAACAACAAGTAGAGTAATATGAAAACATATGAAATGCAAGTGTAAGAGTGCTAATTAATAAAATCACTATCATCTAGAAAACACTATCTTCTTGGACTACTTCGCATTTTACAAGCACATGAGTCTCCCTCTCCATGACCAACAACCTCGTCATAACGCCTAAAAGCAATTTTTAAAAGGAGCCTGATTGAAAAACAGGAGTTTTGTTTACAATTTCCTAAAAAAAGATAGATTTTTGTGAACCTTTAAACTTATGAAGTGGTGTTCGCTGAAGATTGAACAATATTAAGCTGCATTAGAAAATTGGGCTACTGAGACAAATTTGTAGGGTTTACGCATGAATACAAAAACTCAAATAATTATTATCAACCAATAATAAGATATGGACTGTGAATAACCTACCTTTTTCT